CTCAACATGGGTTTACAAAGGGAAAATTTTGTCTAACACATCTGCTGACGTTTTTTAGGAAAGTCTTCGAGGTAGTATATAACGACGAAAATTAAGATGTTATTTACTTAGACTTTAGCAAAGCGTTTGACAGAGTACCGCATCAGAGGCTTCTGAGAAAAGTTAAGGCTCATGGTATCGAGGGGAAAGTTTTAAATTGGATAAAATCATGGCTCACCGATAGAACAGCGTAGATGGTGTTAAATCTGAGTGGGGCTGTGTAACCAGTGGGGTTCCCTAGGGGTCAGTACTGGGCCCACTCTTGTTCATAATCTACATAAACGATCTAGATACTGGGATCAGCAGTGACATAAGCAAGTTTGCGGATGACACCAAAATAGGGCGGCAGGTTAATTCAGGGCAGGATGCAAATGCACTACAGGAGGATTTAAATAAACTGCAGGAGTAATCAGAAAAATGGCAAATGAAATTCAACACCAGCAAGTGCAGCGTACTGAATATTGGAAGAACAAATACTGTCAATGTATACAGCCTTAACAACATCAACCTAGAGAAGTCGACTTGTGAAAGAGACTTAGGGGTACTTGTAATCCCGGACCTACTGTACGGCCTAGAAAACAGTGCGGTAATGTTCGAAATAAGGCAAACAGAGTATTAGGTTTTATATCTAGAAGTGTAAGTAATAAGAGTGCAGAGGTCTTATTGTAACTATATCTTGCGCTAGTCAGGCCGCACCTCGATTATGCGGTTTAGTTCTGGTGCCCCTATTATAGAATGGATATCAATTCACTAGAGTCGGTGCAGCAAAGAATGACGAAAATGATTCCGGGACTTAGAAACCTTCCATATCAAGACAGGTTAAAGAAACTAAACTTGCATTCCCTAGAAAGACGAAGAGTGCGGGGAGATATGATACAAGTATTTAAGTGGGTGAAAGGAATCAATAAAGGAGATATAGATAAGTTCTTATAGTATCCGAGCAGGATAGGACTCGGAGCAACGGATTTAAGTTGGATAAGTTTAGGTTTAGGAAGAAGATAGAGTGGTGGACGAGTGGAACAAGCTTAGCAACTTTGTAGTAAGTACTGGAACGCTGAAAAGTTTTAAAAGGAGGCTAGATAGATTCATGGATGATAGAAAGAGTGGTAGTAACTCTCGACAGAGCTGTCATGCACAGGCCAACCGGTCTATTGCAGACTCCTTATTTTCTTATGTTCTTATGTATGTATTGGTATTAACAGTTTAGAAGTGGTGGTAGTAGTGGTGGTGGTGGTAGTAACAGACAGCAGGTGGTTACAGTGACACAACACGCGGTCACCAGCACAGGATGTCAGCGGCTGCTCTTTATCTTCTCCGGAGACACACTGTTGTTGTTGTTGTTGTTGTTGTCTGTCTCTGTCTGTCTGTCTTATTTGTATATCTATCTATCTATCTCTGTGTGTGTCCCCCCCCCCCTTGATTTCATACACATTATAACTTCTTAACGTTTGTGACGATAAATATTGACCGTGTATTTTTTTTCTCTCTCTACAGAGTGTCCAGACTGTGGTGAAGAAGCTACATACACTCACATAGACGCTTCAGTAAAAATAGTTAACGGTGAAGGAGGTGTTGGTGGGTGTGAGCAGCTGGCTGGTGGAGATAGTGTTTACTGCAGCAGTGGGGGGTGATAGTGTTTTAATAATTATACAGTACTACAGAGTGACTTCTGCAGGCCACCACCCACAGCCACCACCACCCACAGCCACTACTACCACTACCCACAGCCACTACTACCACCACCCACAGCCACTACCACCACCACCCACAGCCACTACCACCAGCAGCAGCCTTGGGTTAGCTAAACAGCGCGGTGCCGTAATTGCGTTAACGGGTAGTAAGAGTGTGGGAGGAGTGTAGTAGCCATGGGGGAGGAGTGGACGCTACCCCCTTCCAGCACCACACCCCGGAGGTGACGGCCTGTTGTGTCATCGTCAACACTCTGCCAGACTGGTTAAATGGTTCTTTGTGAACACGTGGACTCATAAATGGATTGTGTGAGCACGTAGAAGGACCCACACATGGCTCTGGTGAACACGAGTGTTGATGGGTTGGTGGGGAGTGCGGCCATTTTGGATGAGATGGAGCAGAGCGGCGGCGACTATAACCCCCTCACGTCAGACCCGCCGACCATGGGAGATAACTCGACCTACAAGGATTATGGCATAGCGGTGGTGTCGACCCTCTCCTTCTTCTTGGTGGTGTCCATGGTGCTGGCCCTGGGAGGCAACGTGATGGTGATCATCACCATCGTCAGACACCGCGGCATGCGCACCAGGACCAACCTCTTGCTGGCTAACCTGGCGGTGGCCGACATCTTGGTGGCGGTGCTGGACATGCCCATCGCCCTCGTCACCATCATCAACGGCAACTGGGTGTTTGATGACGTCTTCTGCTACTTCAACGGGTTCGCCGTGGGTCTGGGCCTCATGCTCTCCGTCCACACCCTCATGTGGATCAGGTCAGTCAACCACACCTTCTCCAGGTGAATTATTGTCCCACCTGTGTTTGTTTACATTTAGGCTTGATGGACGTCACACGTGCTTTTGTTGACCCAAATATTTATATGCCCAGGTATTGTTGTTTACCATAATAGAGTCTCTCTCAAAAGTTTATCTCTCTCTCCCAACTTGATATTACGACTGAGATAAATCTAAGATAATGGGGTTGAGGGATTTTTTTCCTAGTCATCTCACCTTCCTTGATACACCACTTCAGTTCCCCTCAAACCTGACTAGTATTTCCTGTTACTTCCTCTCCTCAGCCAGCCTCCCCCTCACATCTCTTCCACCTGACCTCCATCATTCGTCACCCCCCCCCTTACACTGCTCTCCTCCATTAGAAGTATAATTAGTATATCCGCGGCGTGTGCCAGACCTTCTGTGGCCGTCAGTGGGTGAGGTGTGCAGCTCAAGATGGCCGGCCAGCGTCACTAAAACAAAACACAAACTCCTATTTTGTGGCTACTAACCCAACCAGAGTTATCCTCATCTAACCAACACTGCCCTTAAAAAAAATCGGGTGTAATGTTGTCAGGTGGTCGGGTCTTTGGTCGAGTTATTAGTAATTAGTGTGACGTTTGTAATGTTCTGTTAACATTGGCACCTTGTGAGGGAGGAGACAGACAACAGGTGGAGGAGAATCACCGGTCCACTTGAATAAACAAACCAATTCATTCCCGCCAAACACACACACACACACACACACACACACACACACACACACACACACACACACACACACTACTTAACTCTCCTTTCAAAGTGTTATTGATATCAGGCAAGAAGGTCCGGATTCTTAAAAGGCTCACAGAGGTAATTTAACCCCCTTTTCAAAGACGTAGGAACACAAACACAATGGCTTCAAAACTATGCCTTAACACTGACCTGACCTGACCTGACCTGACCCGACCTAACGTAATCTAGTCTCTCTGTTATCAAAAGTTGTTCGTCTATCTGTCTATTAGTTATTAAAAGTCGTTTGTTTATCAGTCTGTTATGAAATGTCTCTGTCTGTCTATCAGTTATCAAGTTATCTATCTGTCTGTCTGCAAAATTTCTGTCAATAATTATGAGTCTGTTAAATAAGTCAACTCGCCCAAAAAAAAATTTCCAGCAGATTTTTCACGCTTCACGACACACACACACATCAGATATGGACGAGGGACTTGCCAAGATGGTTCCTACACTGTTAAGATTTTTGGGACAGAGTTTACGGCCCTTGGTTGTGTGTAATAAACCATATCCGGGGAGGAGGAGAGACGGAGACGTAAGAAACGAGGGAGACATAACAGAGATGAAACAGAGAGATGGGAGAGGAGGAGGAGGAGGAAGGAGACACAGAAGGAGGAGGAGACAAAGATGGGACAGAGGGAGGAGACAGGGGAGAGAAAACAGAGATATGGGCGAGGAGGAGACGGAGATATGGGAGAAAGTGAAGAGACGGAGAGAGGGGGAGGAGGAGGAGAGAGGGGAAACTATCGTACGCAATCTCTACCTTACACGACGAAGATTTGACTGTGGAATCATACATTATTGAGAAACTATCGTACACAGTTGCTATCGTATGTTTTGACTGGTTAAAACACACACACACACAAAAAAAACTTCAATATAAGACATTTATTTAGGGAAGTTTGGAAGACATTTACGAAAGGTTTATGTCTTTATGTCTCACGGGTTTGTGCTGTGTTTGCTGATAGGAAAAACAAACACTCAACCGGTTCTTTTACTGACGGCTGTGTGTTAGTCTTGGTGGCGATGGTAATTGTGGTAGTGATGGTGGTATTTGTGGTGATTGTGGTAGAAGTGGCGATGGTAGTTGTGGTGGAAGTGGTCCTTGTCACACACACACGTTAGCCTTGGTTGTTTACATCTTGAAACGCCCAGTGTTTGTCCAGTCCTTTCTTGTCTTATTAATTATGCGAGTGGTGAAGTATTGCATTTTTGTTAGTCTCCCTTAATTAATTTTATTCTTGTTAAATTTATTATCCCTTAATTAATTATATCCTCCCCAAATTAATTGTATCCTCCCTCAATTAATTGTATCACCACTTAAATTCATTGTATTCTCCCTTAATTAATTGTATTCTCGCCAAAGTTAATTATATTCTCCCTTAAATAATTTTACTCCTGTAAGTAACGTCATTCTCCCTTAATGAACTTATGTAACCCTAGATAAGTGACCCAGTGAACAAGTGTGTGTGTGTGTTGACCCAGATAGTGAAGGACTGCGGGTGGACGAGTGACTTATCTACACTGTGTTTCCTGTGTTGTGTGTCATGGCGGGGCACTGAGGGCCACCAAGGCGTCAATTTGTGTACGGTGCAGAAGCTGTCGTCAACACAACCACTAGTCAAAGCTAACGACCTGTAGGCCTATGAAAACCGCACTGGCTAACCATTACCCCGGAACACGATCCGCAAATCGACTAACATCCAATTCTCCAATTACTGCTGGGCAGACAGGGGCAAAGACCCAGATCCTCACCCTGCCCCGGGGATTGAACCCAGGTCCAATTGCTTGTGAGGGGAACATGCTGACAATTACACCACAGGTTTCCATAACACACACTGTGTGTGTGTGTGTGTGTGTACAGTGTGTGTGTTGGACACAAAGGGTCATAACACTTCAACTCACGCAAGACTGTTTGTTGTTTTTGTTTGACTTGGTTTCAAAGAGTTGCGTCTTGTCCAATGAGCGTCCAGGAGTTTATGTCTTTGTCCAATGAGCGTCCAGGAGTTTATGTCTTTGTCCAATGAGCGTCCAGTTTATGTCTTCGTCTAATGCTCGTCCAGGAACTTACAGTATGTCTTCGTCCAATGAGTGCTAAGAACATACATTTATCCAATGAGTTACGTGTTCTTGTAATTAATTTTATTTATACGACTCGGCAATACAGGTCATATTCTCTCCCTCTATACCTCGCTATCTATATTGAATTAGTTCTATCTCTATGGTTTTAGTGTTGATCAAGGAGTATATACTGTAGGAGCTATGGGACAGTAAATAGAGGTGATGGGATCCTCAGGGGGAAAGACTCTAGCGAGGGTAAGTATTGGGAGGGATTGATTACGAAGTATTCAAAATGCACTGGAGTATTCAAGGGTCTCAAGTCAGGAATTCATAAGAGCCGTGAACCACCATAAACCAGACGACCCTCAGCTTAAACTGATCTATCGACGGCCCCGCCCCGCTTCACCTCCCGGACCAATGAAACTGATCATGGTGGCCTGACTCAGACAAACCATCAGCTGACGACGTTCCCTCACACTCATGGGATCAAGTCATGACCTTCAGCAGGGACACTGCACATAAACGCCGGAAACATATTGCTTTACTTATTTTTTGGTCACCACGTATGCTATGGCCATAATGCCGATACATATATGTTGTTATAGGGGTGTTCGTCATTGCTATTTTAAGATCCGACACGTTATTTTACTAAATCAACAGGCCCGCGTTGTGAACTGTCACGGTTGCTAAGGGGTGGTAGAAGAAGGTGCTGACAGTAATTTAGTTGACAGGTTAATTGTATATCATAAATGCCATCTGATCTGATAGTAGCTCCTTAATTACTTCCTGTTTTATCTTACCCCTTAGTTTGGATATTTCAAACTTGTTAATTTAGTACGTCACAATCGGGGTGACTAACGTACTAAATTAACAAGTGATCGTGGTTAATTACAGCTTTTCAGTTATTTTAATATTTGTAATGACTAAAAATTATTGATGGATAGATAAAATGTAACAGTGAAAATCGAGGACCTCAACAAGTGTAGACAGTAATAACGCTTTAGTAAACCTTGTTTGCCTGTACCGGACATGGTGACGCCACTGACGGGGTGTTACTCTTAGTGTCCAGTACGGACGGAAAAGGTCATGTGTGGCGCATTTCTTTGGACCAAACATGACTTAATTACACAACGAACCCTCACGCGATGACTCCTTTCTCCCTTCCCGCCCAAACAACACAAGACACCTCCTTCACACGGACACTAGTATTTAAACTTCTCACGCCATCATTGTTCTACACGACTACAGTTTCTAAACTATTTAACACATGACGCTTGTTGAGTTATGGACCTACATCATTTATTAATACTAACAATTATGTAATTATGTCTGGAATATTATATGTCTGTGTGTGTGTTTTTACTGTTTTATGTGTTTCGATATTTACGTATTTAAATATTTGTCCATCTGTTTGTTGTCTATACCCACCCACGCAGCTACAGGCAACCACCCACTCACACTCAAGCTTGTGAAGGTCGACCTCTTAAAATGAGGAAGAAATTATAAAGAGAACAGAGAGACGTTGAATCCTCTTGTAGCCCCCCCCCCCCTTTAGTCTTAATCGGTCCTTAGTTTTGTGGTTGTTACTTTTTGGTTGGGGCCCATTAGGTTGTGTGTGGGGGGAGGTCCAGGTAATCAATAAACAATCGAGGTCATTCCATATCCCACCAATAAATTACAGACAAAATTAACACCAGTCTTAATTATCATATCAATCATCATCATCATCATCATCATTATACTCTATCCATCATTATCCTTATCTCTCATTACCCTCGATATCATTATCTCCCCCATTCAACCTTTTAATACTTATTACCCTTTTAAAGATAGTATCACCAGGTGTATGAATGAGAGATTAGTTCATACCTGACCTGGATTATTGGGTCACCTGAACATTAGACACCCCATGCTTATTTCACTTGAAGATTGACCACCCTAACGTTATCTTGTAGGGGCGGGGGTTAGGTTAGGTTTATCCTCCGCTGATCCGGTTTAGTTGGTATGTCAGAGTAAGAAGTCATTATTGACCCTTGACCTGCTGAAGCTTGTTGACCGGAAAAGCAACACACACACATCTAATAACTGCCTATCTATCCATTTATCCATCCATCTGTCTGTCTTTATCTGTCTGTCTCCCTTTCTAATTGACAGTTAGAATGTGATA